CGTGGGCGGCTCCTCCTCGCTCGGTGCCGGCGGCAGGAGGAAAGCCAGCGGCTCCCTGAGAGCGGCCACGTCGATGCGGCCCAGGCGGCCGAAACGCTGCAGATGCGTGGGGGGGACACCTTGGGGATGGGGAGAGAGGGATCAGGGGCTCTGCGGGCAAAGAGACCCCACGGAGGGGGCAAGAGCAGGACAGGGCCTGCTCAGTGCCAGAGGGAAGCCATGGGTGAGCTCCCCTGCAAGGAAAACCAAACCCTGAGTTCTCACCCAGTGCCTGTGCAAGCTGTGCTGGAGGGAAAAGCACCTGGAGGCAGCGGTTCAGGTAAGGCAGCAGGTCCTCCAGGAAGGCTGTGCAAAACTGGGTAAAGAGCTCCTGCTCCCGCCCGCTGAAAGCCGCCTCCTCAGCACGGTGGAAGGCCAGGATGGTTTTGGTCACCTGGGGAGAGAGAGAGGCAGATGGGTCACCTAATGACAGCCATGTGCCCAGGTGGGTAAGGGGGCCGATGGCACCTGGCTTGTACCAGCAGCAGCGAGGCCACAGGCCCAGAGAAGTGCCCATCTTCCTGTGCTGGGCACTGGTGATGCCACACCTGGAATCCTGGGGTCAGTTCTGGGACACTAAGATACATGTTGTGGGGCTGGAGTGTGTCCAGGGAAGGGAATGGAGCTGGAAAAGGAGCTGAAGCACAAGGAGCAGTTGGGGGGGCTACCATGGAGAAAAAGAGGCTTGAGAGGGACCTTCTCATCCTCCACTACTCCCTGACAGGAGGGGCAGCCGGGGTGGGGCTGGGCTCTGCTCCCAAAGAACAAGGGACAGGACAAGAAGAAATAGCCTCAAGTTGTGCCACAGGAAGTTTAAGCTGGATATGAGGAAAATTTCTTCAGGGGAAGAGCTGTCCAGCCCTGGCACAGGGCAGTGGTAGAATCCCCATCCCTGGGGAGATTTAGCAGCTGTGTGGATGCGGCACTTGAGGACATGGGTTAGGGGTGGACTTGGCATGCAGGGGGACTGGTTGGACTGGATGATCTCGGAGCTTTCCCAACCCAGCCCCGGATCTCCCAGGACAAGTCCCAGCTCCATCCCCGGACTCACCTCACCAAGGGCCCTGTCCAGGCAGGCGGTGACGTCCTGTGCCAGGGCGATGGGGCAGCACAGCCGCAGGTCATTGAAGGCCACGAGGAGCCCGTTGAGGAAGCAGGCAAGGGGCGGGAAGTCCAGCAGCACCATGGGGGGCTGCAGCGTCCCAGGCTGGGCCGTGGGCACCGGCACTCCTGCCCCGCCGCCCAGCACGGCCGGGGCTGAGATCAGCGTGTAGGAATTCATCTCCTCCCGGAATTTCTCCACCGCCTCCTCCACCGCCTTGCCGAAGGCGTCGGCGGCCACGCGCTGGAAGAGGGGGGCCAGCTGCCCGCGGAAATCCACGCCCACCCTGCTGAAGGACAGCCCGAAGTACATGCACTGCCCCAGCAGCGAGTCCAGCCGGCCGCCCACGCCGCGCTCCAGGTCGCGCCGCAGGGCGCGCAGGAACTCGGAGACCTTCTGCAGCACCCAGCTGTGGAAGATGGCCCCCTCGCCCGGTGCCGCCGCCTCGGCCGGCACCAGCGGCTCCTCGTCCGAGAAGATGGCGCGGTACTGGGTGACGATGTCGAACAGGTGCACGCGGCACGCCTCGATGGTCTTGGTGATGTGCACGTAGGGGTCGTGGTCGGGGATGGAGGCCTGCGTGGAGCGCAGCCAGGCGTCCCGCGCCTGCAGGAACTTGACGCGCAGCTCGGCCTCGGTGAGCACGTCCATGCGGCGCAGGAAGCCGATGACGCGCAGGCAGGCAGGCAGCGCGATGTTGGTGCGCAGCTGCTGGATCAGCTGGTTCAGCATCAGCTGCGCCGACTGGCGCACCTCGTCCACGATGCCCTGGGGAACACAGAGCCTTCAGGCAGGTACAGGCACGGGGCAGCGTGGGGGGCATCTGGATCACAGGGCGGGACAACACGGGGTTCAGTCACGGGGCACAGACGGTGCCAGGCTCACCTGGATAACGGGGATGCTGCTGTGCTTCCTCTCCAGCCTGCGCACGTAGGCCGTGAGCTCCAGCGCCTCCTCGTAGTAGCCGTTCCGGACACAGGTGTCCATGAGCTGCGGGATCTCCAGGATCTCCAGGATCTCCGTGTGCCGGTTCAGCGTCAGGCTGTTCATGCGCCGGCTGCAGGCGATGGCCTCGGCATCGCGCATGAAGGTCCTGCGGGCCGGGATGGCATCAGCAGAGAGCCCGCCCTGCAGCGGGTGGATCCGCGCACCCTGCCATCCACACCGGCCGCTCCCAGCCGGCCCGACCCTCAGTGGGCTGCGCACCTCTCGCTCCCCAGCCCAGCCCAGCCCATCCCATCCCATCCCCGGCCCTTGCCCGCCGCTCCCCGTGCCCGGTGCCCGTCCCGTACCGGCAGGCCTCCTGCAGCGCGGGCAGCCGCTCCAGCAGGCTGCCGAGGCGGCTCTCGATGCCGCCGAAGCCGCGGCCGGCGCGGCCGGTGCACTCGGCGGAGCGGATGAAGGCTCGGTAGTGCTCGAAGGCGAGGCGGCGCGTCTCGGCCCCGACCCGCTCCCGCTCCGTCGCCAACCGCGCCGGCTCCCGGCCCAGCTCCGCCAGCCCCAGCGCCGCCAGCTCCGACACATAAGCGGCGAGCTCGGGGCCGCCGGGCGCCGCCGGGCCGCGCAGCCAGGCCAGCAGCCGCGCCTCCTCCGCCGCCGCCGCCATCGCCGCCGCCGCCGCGTCACCTCCGGGCCCGCCGGTTCCCGGTCCGTCACTTCCGCTACCGCCGGTTCCGGTCCGGTCACTTCCGGCCGCGGTGGCCCCGCGTGTGCGGCGCGGCGCGGGAGATGCGGCCGCTCACGGAGGCGGAGACGCGGGCGGTGTTTGAGAAGCTCGGGAAATAGTGAGCGGCCGGCACCGAGGGGATCGGGAGGGCTGGGCCGACGGGATGCGGGGATTCGGACACAGGGACAGGATGGGCACCGGGAGGACTGGGCCGGCTGGATCCCGGGAACGGGGAGACCAAGGGGGACCGGGAGGGCCGGGCCCTGGCGGTAGCGCGGCACGAGGGGCCGGGCCGGGCTCACGAGTCTGTCCTGCAGCATCGGGGAGAACATCCAGCTGCTGGTGGACCGGCCCGATGGCACCTACTGCTTCCGCCTGCACCGGGACCGCGTGTACTACCTGAGGTGAGTGCCGGGAGGGCGGGGAGCGGGACGGCCCCGGTGCGGCCCGGCCGAGCCCAGCGCCGCCCCGCTCCCGGTGCGGCCCGGCCGAGGCCAGCACGGCCCCGCTCCCGGTGCGGTCCGGCCGAGCCTGGAACTGCCCCGCTCCCGGTGCGGCCCGGCCGAGCCCAGCACTGCCCCGCTCCTGCAGTGAGAAGCTGCTGAAGCTGGCGGCCAGCGTGCCCCGGGAGAGCCTGGTGGCCCCGGGCACCTGCTTCGGGAAGTTCACCAAGTCCCAGAAGTTCCGGCTCAGCGTCACGGCCCTGGACTACCTCGCACCCTACGCCAAGGTGGGTCCCGGCCCCGAGTGGCCCTCACATCCCCACGGCCCCTCACAGCCCCATGGCCCCGAGCATCCCTCACAGCCCTGAGCAGCCCCACCGTCCTCACAGCCCCGAGCAGCCATCACAGTCCCATGGCCCCTGCCCACCCTGCGGCCCCTCACAGCCCCGAGCAGCCATCACAGCCCCATGGCCCCGAGCAGCCCTCACAGCCTCACGGCCCGTCACAACCCCACAGCCCCGAGCATCCCTCACAGCCCCATGGCCCTCACAGCCCCATGGCCCCGAGCAGCCCTCACAGCCTCACCGCCCGTCACAACCCCACAGCCCCGAGCATCCCTCACAGCCCCATGGCCCTCACAGCCCCATGGCCCTTGCCCATCCTGCGGCCCCTCACAGCCCTGCCCCTCTCCTGCAGTACAAGGTGTGGGTGAAGCCAGGCTCCGAGCAGTCCTTCCTCTACGGGAACCACGTGCTGAAGTCGGGGCTGGGCCGCATCACGGAGAGCACGGCGCAGTACCAGGGTGTGGTGGTGTACTCCATGGCCGACGTCCCGCTGGTGAGCGCCCGGGCCCCGCCGGGGCTGAGGGGGGATAGGGGATGGGGGACCCTCCCTCACGTCCCCCTTCACCCGCAGGGCTTCGGGGTGGCTGCCAAGTCCACGCAGGAGTGCCGCAAGGTCGACCCCCTGGCCATCGTGGTGTTCCACCAAGCTGACGTCGGGGAATACGTACGGAACGAGGACACGCTGACATGAGGGACCCTCGGGGACCCCCAGGGACCCTTGTGCTTTGTCTGTGAGTGTTCTGGGCTGGCACGGACTGTGTCCTGCACCGTGGGTGTGGGAAGCCCACCCAGAGTGGGAGGGAAGTGTGGGGAGCTGCCAGCACAGAGCCCCAGAGCCCTCAGGGGGCTGCCTCCAGTGCAGGAGGACGGGCCCTGGCCCCAGCCCTGTCACATAAAGCCTGATCCTTGTTTCAGTGCCTGTTGTCTGGTGTGGAGGTCCAGGGGGAGTCAGTCCTTGCTCCTGCTATGGGGAATGTGACACACTGGGGTGTATTTGGGGGGATTGATGAGGTTGGGGGGAGCCTTAGAGTGAGGATGAGCTTCTGGGGAGGGAGGGAGGGAGGGAGGGACCAGCAGCTTTTGGTCTCACAGAGGCTGGATGGCTTTAGCGGGCAGTAGTCACTCCCTGGCCTCTGCCAGGGGTTCCTTTATTGCGAGACTGGTAGAAAAAGCTCCTTGAGACACCAACAAGGGGTAGGGATGTGACAAACCCACACAGCACACAGAACTCAGGTGACAGCGTGGCCTTTGACTTTTCTCGGGGTGATGCCAGGGCTAGAGCTGAGGCAGGAGCAGGGAGAACTCTCCAGCCTCCTCCTGGAAGCAGAATCCAGCCTCTGCTCCTACTCTGTGGTGGGACAGTGGCAGCCAGGTGAGCTGGCTCTGCAGGGCATCCCTGCCCTGCTCTAGCACCTCTGGCCGCCCGAGGTTTGGGCATGGAAGAGGCGCTTGAGGAAGCAGAGCTGCAGCACCCCGGAGAGGACAATGACACAGCTCTGGGCCATGGACCACCAGTTGATGTAGTTGTAGTTGGACTCCAGGAGGAAGGAGTCAGCCCATTTCCTCATCCGGGCAAAGTTGTAGAAGCGCCACATGTGGAAGGTGTGCATGTGCAGCTTCTGGATGCTCGCCTGCAGGAGAGGCAGAGCCGTGCTCAGAGCTGCCCCAGGCGCTCAGTGCAAAGGCCCTGCTCAGTGGCCTGGGCAGGACATGCCCAGCCCTGCTCTGCTGGGACACCCTGACCCTCACCCCAATTGCCTCCAGGGTGTCGTTCAGCTCCTTCCTCTCTGCTGGCTGCTTGTGCTCCATGTTGAAGTCATCGTAGTACACACCAAAGTTGAGATACACCTGCATTACGCCAAAGTGGTTCTGGTGGTTGTCCAAGCAGAGCTGGTAGAAACCTGCAGAGGGAAGGGGGTTGTTGGTCCCTGGTGGAAGGGCCCCAGGCAGACACATCCCGAGTGCTCAGCCCCGCAGGAGCAATCTGTGCTCTGGGGATCCCTGGCTGGGCAGGCTCAGAGCTGCTGCAGGGGTTGGGGCTCACCCGTGTCCTTGGTGAGGAAGTTGATCTGTCCTCGCACGTCCTGGGACACTCCGAGCTGGAAGCCATTGGGGTCACTCGCTGTCACCAGGATGCTCCTGCTGTTGCCAACCCCCGTCGCCCGCTGGACCTGGAGTCAGGGGACACCCGAGGGGGATTTGTGGGTCCTGGTGTGTGGGGATGGAGCTGTGCCAAGCCCTGAGGACGTGTTCCTGTGGGGCTGCACAGAGCTGGGGGAAAGCTGCCAGTGCCAGGCACAGCCATGCCCTGGCTCTCCTTCAGGCAGCCCAGTGTAAACAGGACATGAAAGGGCTGGAGTTTCCCTGTGGGAAGGGGACAGAGCTCAGGGACACGCTGTGCCACAGCCTCTGGCCAGGCAGTGAAGGGCAGAGCTTCCAACAGTGCCAGAGCTCCCAGCACCTCTTCATGGGCTTAAACCATGAAGTTCAAAAAATGCATGAGATTGATAAGGGATAGGGATTAGGGTGGTTATATTAGGAAGATATTCTTTCTTGAAGTGAGAGTGGGGAGATTCTGGCACAGGGTGCTCAGAGCAGCTGTGGCTGTCCCATCCCTGCAACTGTCAACCCTCAGGTTGGACAGGGCTTGGAGCAATCTGGAAAAATGGAAGGTGTCCCTGCCCATGGCAGGGGATAGAAAGAAATGAGCTTTAAGATCCCTCCAACCCAAACAGTTCCACGATACTGCCTGGAGAAAGGCAGACTCCCTGAGGTGCCACAGGAGCAGCACGGGGTGGATCCAGCCCAGCCTTCTCCTGGCTGTGTCAGCCATGTCCCAGGCCACGTCCCCAGCACCCACCTCGTAGCTGAAGAAGAAGTTTCCTCCCTGGTGTGAGAACTGCCAGAAGCACTCGGCGGTGCCGGCGGGGACGACGATGGCGAAGTCGTAGCGGTCGGCGCCGCGGAACAGCGGCTCCTGGCTGGAGCCAGCGCTCAGGGGCTCGGTCCTGGGGCAGCCAGTGGGGCCCAGCAGAGCCAGGAGCAGCAGCAGCAGCATCCTCCTGCTCCCCGGGGTGCAGCACTGCCTCCCCACGCAGGGCAGGGCAGTGTGAGGCACGGGGTAATCATTAACCACAGCACGGCCGCCGTGGCCCAAGGTGATCTGTGAGAGCTGCAGCTCCGACACCTGCACTGCCAGGGCGAGAACAGGACACAGCTCCTGCCAACGGGGCACCACCAACTGGCACTGCCCCTCACTGGCCCACATCTCTGACTGGTGCTCCTGCTGCCCACGGCTCTCCAGGGAAGGGATTTATGGAAGGGGAGGAAAATGCATGGCCACAGCCAGGGGACAAGGGACACTCAGTGCAGCAGCTGCAGCTGAAGGACAGAGGGGGAAGCAGCTGGTCCTAGACAAGACTTCTCCCAGCCCTGGCTTTGCTGAACAGCAGCCAAGAGAAACTTAGAAACTGAATTTAGCAAGTGCCCCTGTATCACACCTGACCTAACCCAGAAACTCCTGGTTCCCATGTGCACCAGCATGTCACTGCTCCAGGGCAGTGCTGCTCCCACCCAGCACTCCCAGAGGGGAAGGGAGAGCCCCACATTCTGTGACCCTCTGCTGCATTTCCACCCACGGGGCAGAAATTGGCTACTAAACAAGAAAGGAGCTTTATTTTACAAATGACCGTTCCAGCTTTGGCACTTGAAGGCAGGAACGTGTGGCACCCTTGGAGCTCACACACAGCAAGGGTATTACCAGGAAAAGTACAAAGAAAACATGACCAAAGTCAGACAAAACTAAAAATTTCAGCATGGAAACAACAAATAGATCCAAGTACTGAAACACAAAGTAATTTTAGCTTTTTTAAGCCTCAGAGCTGGAAGGGAGGAATTTCTCCTCACACATTAGTCCCCCATTAATGGGGAAAAAAAAACCCAACAAGTAGATCCTCTTGCCTGGATCTCTTCCCCACAGAAGTGCTGGGACTCAGTGCTGCCTGTTCCACAAGGGAGTGATGGCAAACAGGTGAAACAAGTGATTCAGTGAACAGACAACAAACACAAAAATAGTCACCTACGAGATCATCCTCTGCTCACACCTGAGCAGAGCGGACAGCTGGGATTCATTCCAGAGGCTGCAGTGGCCAGCTGGACAAAAGTCTCAATCTGGATTCATGCTGGGAGGCTGCACAGCCCCTGCCATGTGCAGCACGCTGATCTCTGCAGATCCAGCTGGAGCACAAGGCTCCTGGTTCCTCTCTGTCATGGTTCTGCTGTCAGAGGGACCTCCCACACCGGCACAGACTGCACTCTGGGCCAGCTTCCAAAACACAAACTGAGGTCCAAAAACCAAAAGAAAGTCCTGTGGCTCCCAACTCAGAGCATTCCCAGTTTCTTCATGGTCCGCCAGCGGTCCTTGATCATCACAGAGGTGCGGTTCCTGAAGGGGAACTTGAGGCAGATGGTTTTCCACCTCCCTTCCCCGTACTTCTTCACCCCTTCCTTGATCCACTCGCTCTCCTCCATGGTCCATTTCTGCAAAGAGCAAGGAAGCACTGCGTGGCAGAGCCTGCTGCCCTCATCACCCGTGCCAGGAGCAGCAGGGAGGGCACACAGGTCCTGGCAGCTCACACAACGCCCCAGCGCTGCAGATGTGCAGCAGCTACGAGGAGAGGTCCTGGTGGCACCAACGTGGGACCTGCTCCTGGCTAACAGCTGCCAGATGTGTGTCCCTCAGCTGAACAACCTCTCAGCATGAGGGAACTTGGCAAACCTTGCTTTAACCAAAGGGACCTGAGGCACATTCCCAGTGCCCTGCAGGCAGGACAGGCCCAGCTCCAGCCTCTTTTATCATGGAGGCTGCAGGGACACTGCCCCACTGCAGGGCCTGCTGCAAGCACCCAAGGCTCCACATACCTGTTTCTTGGAGCCAGAGTTGTTGGAGGCTTTGTTTTTCTCAAGTGATGCTGGAAAACAAGGGAGAGAGTTACAATTCCACGATCTGGGAAGTGCAGACCTCCCTGAGAGGCTGCCTTGTGCTTCACTGCTGAGCTGCGCAGTCAGAGCACCCCGTGACAGCAATACACCCCGATTCCTTGATCCCAGCCTTCCCACAGGATTTCTGGTTTCAAAATTCAGCCCCCCAGGCAGCAGCAGGAGCCCTGTGAGTGACCCCCTGCCAGGACTAGCACAGGTAGTCCCTGCCAGGGGGACTCTCATACCTGCATTTGCAAAGAGCTCCTCCTCATCACTCCAGCTGTCCTTCTCCTCTGTGCCACAGGAGCTGTTCCACCTTCCTTGGAAGGACCTGAAATCAGGTGAGGGTTTACTTTGGCCACTGGCTCAGCAGAAGGTGCTTTGGGGAGCAGGTGCAGGGCCACCAAGCAAGCAGAGCCAGCCCCTGGACACTATTTCTTAAGAGGTGGGAAGCAAGAGTAGGATGGTCCTACAGACTGGCCAGGGATGCTGAAAGTGGGAGAAGTGTGGAAAAACATGTTCCTTGTACTGGAATCACCTGCCAGGACCAGCTGCAGCACCTCACGGGCAGCAGGACCTGAACATTTACTCCTCTTCATTAACCCAGAATTAATTATAAAGCCAAACATAAGGGCAAGAGAGGGTTTGCTGTGCCCAGTTCCACGTGGGCTGGAGGGCAAGGTCAACGCTCATCTGGGGACACAGGGCAAGGGTTTGGTGCTCAGGCCACCAACACCAGCAAGACAAGTCTGGGGGCAGAGCACACAATAGCACATGAGAGGGGCTTCATACTTCTCACTCTGGGCAGACAAGGGCTCCTCAGGCACTTTGGGAGCAGGTTTGGAGGCAGAAGAGACCACGTGCTCCTGGGAAGAGTCGGGGCACTCGCTCGACTTGCTGGACGAGCCGTCCAACTCCACGATCAGATTGCTTATGCTGAACAAGTTTTTGATGTTATGGGGTATTTCAGGAGGCTCTGAGGTCTCAGAAGCTTGATTCTCCACTTCTCTGCATCTCTTGGTTCTGTGGGATACAGAAGGAGACAGTTGCTTGGGGGAAGGCAAGTCTGTTTGGTCCAGTTTGGTGAAAAGGGCGTCCGAGTCCCCGGAGTCCGACAGGATCTTGAAAGCTTCTCTCAGAACAGAAATCCCATACGAGGTTACAGCTCCAGGGGGCTGCCTATAAAATAAACACAACCAGGAGGCTTGTAGGGAAACTGCCAAGGGAGCTCTGCTGCCCAGAATGCAGCCTTGCCCTCCACTGGCATCCCCAACTCCTGGCCCTGCAGTGCAAATCCATGGAAGGGGGCATTCCCAACCCTCCAGCTCCCTCCAGCACAGTATCCCAGGTGTGGGGAGCACACCTTCCTGCTCCACTGCCTCCTGCCCTCCCCTGTGCTGCTCCATGAGAGCAGCCACTGCCCCTCCCTGGTCACTGCAGCACTTCCTTCAGCAACTGACCCAAACCACCTCAACACCTTCCCAGGATCCACCTCTGGGCTGGCCTGGACAGGCATTTGGGGAATTAGGAGCTGCCTGGACACAGGGGATTACCCCTGGGAAGAGAACCCGAGGCCAACTGCATCCACAACCCAGAGCCAGAGTGCTGTGCCCACCTTGGTGATTCCCTGGTGGACACCCTGGGGGGATCAGGGGCTGCTGCTGGTTCTTTAGCTACTTCCATGGGCTCTGGAGTGCCCTTCAGCATCTCATACGCTGCTGGTAAGTGCTCAGGTGTTGCTGCTGGGTCAGTGGCTACTTCCATAGGTTCCACAGCTGCTGCAGAGCCACCGGCTTCTTCCATCATCTCTGGAGCTCCTGTGGGAGCAGCTGCCCTTTTTGCAGGGCTGGCAGCTCCCTCCAGGTCTTCAGCTGCTCCTGCAAGCTCTGGAGCTCTAGCTGAGCCCTCTGCCCTTCCCAAAGCCTCTGGAGAGTTGGTTGGGCCCTCTGCCCTGGCTGGGCCCTCTGGAGCTGCTGCCTGGTCCTTCAGCCCCTCTGCAGGCTCAGGGGTCCCCAGCGAGGATTTTGCTTTGCCGGCGTGCTCAGAGTCCAAAGTCTTCTTCAGTAACTGAAAACAGAGAGAGCACAGCACATTACAGACACGATTCCTTGTGCTCCCATTCCATTTCATCCCCTCCCAAGGGTGTTCCATGAATGGAACAGCTTGTCTGACCATGTGAACCCCTTGGAAGGGCTGGATTTAGAGGGCTGCAGGTTTAGAGTGCTGCAGGTTTAGAGGGCTGCAGGGCACGCACCGTCAGCAGCGCCGGCTCAGAGTCGTCCATGTAGCCCCTCAGGAACTCAAAGATGCTCTGCTGGAACTCCTCGTAGGAGAAGTTCTTGACCTTTGGGTGAGAGAGATTCTTCTCCCGGATCACAGCCAGCCACTCGTTCCTCTTCTTCTGGAGAAGGAGTCATAGGATCAGGTGAGAACACTGGGCAGGGACAGGGCAATCAGTGCCAGCCACAGCGAGGGTGTGGGCAGGGATGGGCCTCTCCTGCTGGGCATTCCCCAGGCACAGCCAGTTAACACCGAGATGAGGCTGGGAAAAGGCCAGGGGAACAGGACAGCAGCAGCAGAACCACCTTATTTCAGGAATTCTTCTTGCCTGCAGTGCCCAAGCACTCTACTGCCTGCAGGAACAGGAGTGGGGACTCCTGCTGCTCCCAGAACCTGCTGGGAACTGAGCTGGAGGCTCATCAAGGGATAAATGGTGATGCTTGGAGGGCTTGTGAGGAAAGCTGAGTGACAGGGGTGACAACCAAGGTGCCAACCCAAACAGGCAGCACTGGGGGACCAGCACTCCAGCAGGATTGTTTCCATTTTAGCCTCCTCACCCCAAACCTCCCAGGACACATGGGGGTCACCCCAGAACCCCTCTGGACACACCAGCAGCTCCCACTTCATCCCAGCACAGACTCACTTGGTTCCTGGGCTCCTTCCCCATGTGCTTCTTGACGATGTCAGAAGCCTTTTCAAACTCCTTGTTTCTGATACACACAACAACAGCCTGCAGATGAGAACAAGGACAGGACAGACTGAAGCAGGCACAGGAGCAGCTCGGTGCCAGCTCCACTCAGAACTCCCCATCACTGCAGGGAGGAGCTTGCACACAGTGAGGGAACCCCACACGTGAGGCAGCTCCCACCAGCACCCACACGAGGCAAAAGCTGCACCACGTATTTACTGAGAAAGGAAAGGATCTTACAGCTTCCTTCACCATTTTCTGCACAGCCTCCATCGTCCTGTCTGCCACAGAGAACTCCTCACGGATGAAGTCCAGGACCAGCATGGCCGACTCCAGGGGGGTCAGCTCTGACTCCTTGTCGAAGGTGCAATCTGGAAGAGGCAGGGCGGCACTTTGGAAGCAGAGTCGCCAGCCCGATGGGTTTGCCAGTCCCGGTCGCTGCTCCCAGTCCCCCAGACAGACAGACAGACAGACAGGAGAGCCCCCCCTCGCCCGCAGGGACCCAGCCCAGGGCCCGGCTCTGTGCAGGGACGGCTCCGGGAGCGGCGGGCACACGGACACGGAACGGGGGGAGCAGGGGCAGGCTGCACGGAGCAGGAGCGGGCGGCACGGAGTAGGAACGGGGCTGCACGGAGTAGGAACGGGGCTGCACGGAGTAGGAACGGGGCTGCACGGAGCAGGGGCGGGCTGCACGGAGCAGGAGCGGGGCTGCACGGAGCAGGAGCGGGGCTGCACGGAGCACCGGGGCCGCAGAACGGGCCGGGCACCTACCGAGGTTCTCGCCCTCCTCGACCCGCGACAGCAGCTGCATGATGCGGAGCATCTGCGCCATGTCCGGCTCCCGCTCCAGCGGCCGCACGAGCAGCGCTGTGGGACAAACGGCTGGTCAGGGCTGCGGCCCGCTCCGGGCGCCGCGGGCACCCCCGGGCCCGGCCCCGCCGCTCCCCGCCCGGTCGCGCGCACCCTGCATGATGTCGCGGAACTGGCGGAAATCCCGGTTGCGCCCGGAGCGGTAGGCCTCGATGGCCCGGTGGAAGTAGAACTGCAGGACCCAGCGGTTCACGGTCTTCTCAGGGAGCGCCGCCATCCCGGCCCGGTCAGGCTCGGGATCGCGGTCGCCCTCGGTATCCGGGTCCCGCTCCCGCCGCGCCGGCCGCCGCGTCGCCATCCTGCCAGGCCCCAGCGCGCCGGAAGTGACGACACCAACGCGGCACCACGGGACCCTGGGCGCACAGCCTTATCTAGCGGCTTCCTCGCCTACAGCTCCCGGCGTGCATCGCGCCAGCTCCGCCGCGCCTACAGCTCCCGGCGTGCATCGCGCCAACTCTGCCACGCCTACAGCTCCCGGCGTGCATCGCGCCAACTCCGCCACGCCTACAACTCCCGGCGTGCACCGCGCCAACTCCGCCACGCCTACAGTTCCCCCAAACTCCGCCATGCCTACATCTCCCGGCGTGCATCGCGCCAACTCTGCCACGCCTACAGTTCCCGCCGTGCATCGCGCCAACTCAGCCACGCCTACATCTCCCGGCGTGCACCGCGCCAACTCCGCCACGCCTACAACTCCCGGCGTGCACCGCGCCAACTCCGCCACGCCTACAGTTCCCCCAAACTCCGCCATGCCTACATCTCCCGGCGTGCATCGCGCCAACTCTGCCACGCCTACAGTTCCCGCCGTGCATCGCGCCAACTCAGCCACGCCTACATCTCCCGGCGTGCACCGCGCCAACTCCGCCACGCCTACAACTCCCGGCGTGCACCGCGCCAACTCCGCCACGCCTACAGTTCCCCCAAACTCCGCCATGCCTACATCTCCCGGCGTGCATCGCGCCAACTCTGCCACGCCTACAGTTCCCGCCGTGCATCGCGCCAACTCAGCCACGCCTACATCTCCCGGCGTGCACCGCGCCAACTCCTCCACGCCTACAACTCCCGGCGTGCACCTCGCCAAACCAGCCGGTTAGCGTTGTCGCCGTCTGGCGGCTGGGAGGGGAATGGCGGGTCCCGGCGGGAAGGGCGGCGGGAGCGGCGCGGGCGGAGGTGGAGCCGGGGGCACAGACGAGGGCACAGGCGGGGGCAGAGCCGGGGGCACAGGCGGGGGCACGGCCGGTCCCTGCGGGCTCGGGGTCGGCCCGCTGCCCGCACCCGGCACCCACAGCAGTGAAACGCCCACCTGTAAGTGTTGGGACCCCTGAGCAAGTGTGTCACCTGAGCAGGCCTGGCTGTGTTAAACTCGTGTCACCCGCAGCTGGCAGTGCCACCCTGCCAGGGCACGCCCGGGTTTTTGCTTTTTTCTGGAATTCAGAACACCCCCGCTCTCCTTTGCTCTGCGCTCCGTCCCCCTCGCCTGGAACAGCAAACCGGGTCCCCGGGCAGGATTCTGGGGCCTGGGCTGTCCCACAGCCACTCAGACCTGGGGTAATGAATTCCAAGTCCTGTTTTCCCAGCGAGCTCCCTAAATCCCGAGCTGAGCTGGGGCCCGGAGGGGAAGGCACCGGGAGCTGATCCTCGGGGTCACGGGGTGGCTCCTCGGCCCAGGGGACATTCCCGACTCTGGCCTGCAGGCTCTCTCACCTGAGATGGAAAAGCACGTGAAAATTCCTCTGGCATGAGGTGATCTGGGATCCTCCCTTCCCTCTGCCCCAGGCCAGGACAGGAGGAAACACACATGGGAAAAATCCGTGTGTCAGACGGAAAACAGAAAAACTGGGAGGGATTTTTATTGGCAAACAAAGGAAGATAAAAATAATAATGTGTGTGAGGCAGAGGGGTCACCCGGGGCGGGGGCTGCCCTGGGGAGCAGGGTGGGAGCTGGGAATGCCCTGAAGGATGTGACACCCACAGGCAGACCTGCTTCCCGTGAGATCCCAAGGTCTCTGCAGGGTTTGGATGGGGTGGTGACGTGACAGATGTCATGAGAGCAGAGCTGGAGAAGGTGACAATTCCTGACGTGTTTCTGGGGTGGGGAGGGCACAGCATTGGCACCCAGTCCAGGCTTCCCTCCCTCACCACTCCAGGGCCTGCCTTAGCCAGCAGTGTGCAAACAGCACCCAGGGCTGGAAAACAGGGCTGGAACACTGAATTCCAGAGAAAATGCAAAAATGAACCCACTGCTTTGCTCCCTGAATCGTCTCCAATAAACAAAGAGGAAACAGGGATGATGGAAGCAGGAGCAGGAGTGGCAGTGCCTCACTTTGCAGTTTCACTGAGTCCCCCTGTGGTGTCACCATCAGTTTTCCAGGAAAAGCTTTGGGGTTCCTTGTGCCAAACAAAGCACTGGGCAGGAAGGCACAAACTGCAGCCGTGCCTGTGCACTGGATCCTCCCCTCACTGATTTATGGCTTTTGATGAAGTGATTACAGATGAAAGAAAATATTCCAGGGAACAGGATCTGCATGTGGCCGTGGTCTCGTGCCTGTCACATCCTTCAGGAGGAGTTGGAGCAGGAAACAGAACAGGAAAAGCACCAAGGCCCCTGCTCAGCAGGCTCTGGGCTGCAGCACCAGGCAGGACAGCAGCTCCCACAGCAGCTGGGGCTGCCCCAGGCCGGGCTGGACACTGGGGCTGGGAGCACCTGGGACAGGGGAAGGGTCCCTGCCAGGGCTGGGGGGCCCTGGGGGAGCTCCAAGGTCCCTTCCAGGACCATTCTGGCCTTAGAAAAGCAGTGGAGAGCCACAGAAAACCAGGGAGCAGTGGAACAGGGGACAAGGGAAATGTGGAGCAGGGTCATGAGATTTCTTTGAAAACCACAGAGAAACCCTCCAGGCATGAGGGATGGAGAGGAGGAAGCACAAAGGCACTTACTAAGAAACCCATGAAGTAGATTACAGAAACTCTGAACCAATCTGAGCAAAGGTAACTCCTCCTGTTGGAACTGGGCTGATCTAGAAGGAAAGGGAAGGGTCTAGAAGGAAAGGGAAGGATCTAGAAGGAAAGACGTTGGTTTGGAGAGGTGCCAAGAGTGGGGCTGCCTGGCACAAGGAGCTGGAAACACTTCTGTGTCAGAGGATCCCGGGTTCCACACAGAACCAGGGAAACAGCCCTGATGACTGGAAAAGGTAGGCAGAAAGGATCAAAAGGAGCAGCAGCTCAGTATTTAACATTTAATATTGACTAGGTGAGTGTGGAGAGGTTTCACAACAGGCTGAGCCCTTTACATCCCAGTATCTGGGTAGGTGAATGTATGGCCTTGTCCAAACGGAGAACTTCCCCCGACCTCCCTTCAGAGGGATGTGTGACCAGCTGGGCTCTCCCTGCTCACAGCTTCAGCCTTCAGCCAGTGCTGCTCCCAGCTCAGCACTGACAGCACGGCCCTTCTGCCTCCTCAGCCCTCGTTAAACAAACATGCACTGCCCAGCCCGTACCTGTGCTGCAAGTGCAAGGGAACACAACCCACAAATGCCCGTTCACAAAGGGAAACCACCACGGGCTTCATGAGTGGCTCGGGTCCCTGAGCTTCTGAGCAGCCTCTGACCCTGGAGGAAGGAGAGGATTCCCCAGCGTTTCTGCTCAGGCCTGGCTGTGAGCTTTGCTTGGGAACCCGGGCAGAGCCAGGCCTGGGGATGCGCTGCACCGGCACCGGCCGTTCCGGGCTGTGGGCTCACACCTGCTTTACAAACATGCAGGGAGCACTGCCAGGGACACGGGAAAAGCGGAGGGCGGGTTGGTGACGGGCACGGGGGTAACGGGGCGGCTCGGAGCCAGGAATGGGGAACGGGGGCTGAAGGGAGCGGGGGCTGAGGGGGGAGCAGGGGCTGAGAGGGGAGCGGGGACTGACGGGCCCGGGGCTGAGGGAGGTTCCGGGCCTGACGGGCCCGAGGCCGAGATCCCGGTCCCGGTCCCGGTCCCGGTCCCGGTCCCGCTGCCGCCTCAGAGGCGACGCTCACGCGCCGTTTCCCGCCTTTCTCCCCGGCCGCTCCCCATTGGCCCACGCTCACCGCCGCGCTCTCCCATTGGCTGCGCCGGCAGCGCCCCCCTCTGGCTTGCTCCCCATTGGTCCCCGAGCACAACGGAGCTCGCGCGGGGCGTTGCCATCGCTACGGCGGCCGGCGCGGGTCAGGGCGCGCGTTCCGCGAAGGCGCGCCGGGCAGCATGGAGGGCGGGCGGCGCGGAGAGGCCGCGGCGGCGGCGGCCGGGGACGGGCCCGCGCCCGTGTTCACCCTGGAGGAGGTGGCGAAGCGCAACTCCAGCCGTGAGGCCTGGCTGGTGATCCACGGGCGCGTGTACGATGTCACCCGGTTCCTGGACGAGGTGGGCCTGCACTGGGGCTGCCGGCCCGGCGCTGAGGGGAGCGGGGACGGCCGGGGCTCTGTGGGGCCCAGAGGGGCGGGAGGGCCCTGCAGGGTCGGGGCTGCCCTGGGGACAGAGGGGCCGGGGCCGGGGACCAGCAGGCCCGGGCCGGGTTCGGGGCCGTGCCGGTGCCCCGGGGGCAGCTCCCCGCGCCGGGCCGGGCCGTGCGGGCTCTCCGGGCCTCGTGGCCGCGCCTCTGCTCCGAGGGGACAGAAAATCCCTCCAGACTCACTGCGTGTGTCTTCTGACTTTGAAGATTGAGAGTGGTGTTCTAACTGGTGAGAGCTGGGAATGGAGTGGAAATAAAATAACAAAACAGTAATGCCCGAGGGAATGGCGTGAAGTTGTGCTAGGGGGAATTTAGGGTGAATATCAGGAAAGGTTCTTCCCCCAGAGAGAGCTGGGCACTGCCCAGGCTGCCCAGGGAATGGGCACGGCCCCGAGGCTGCCACAGCTCCAGGAGTCTTTGGACAATGCTCTCAGGGATGCCCAGGGTGGGGTTGTTGGGATGTCTGTGCAGGGCCGGGGTTGAACTTGATGATTTCTGTGGATCCCTTCCAGCTCAGAATATTCTGTGATTCTGTGGTTCTATGAAAATCTCAAAGGGGTCTGTCCCAGTTTAAAATAACAGCAGAGACTTCGTGGCATTTGCAGGGCAGGGTACAAAGGTTGGGCTGAGCCAGCTCCAAAGAAGACACTTCATTGAAATGCACTTGTTGCAGCTTGTTGGTTCTGCTGGACTGAACCCAGCTCTGGTTTCCCTCAGGCCCACGCGGTTGAAGCTGTGTGCTGTGCAGTGACAGAGCTGCTGTGGAGAGGGTCCCTGTGCATCAGGCAGGAGGGTGGTCACTGGCAGCTCCAGGCTGTGCCTTGCTCTCAGCATTTATTGATGAAGTTGGACACAATCTGGTTTCTTCTTTGGGTCCAGAAAATGACTGAATCACAGAATTGTCCAGGCTGGAAAATCCCTCGCAGACCATGGAGCCCAAGCTGTGCCCAGTGCCCACCTTGTCCCCAGCACTGAGAGCCACCTCCAGGTGTTCCTTGGACACCTCCAGGGATGGGGGCTCCAACCCTCCCTGCCAATGGGCAGGCCTTTCCATGAAGGAATTCCTGCTGTTGTCAGCCTGTCAGGGAGCTGTGCACAGGCAGAGGGTCCCCTGGGCCTCCTTTTCTGCAGGCAGGGCAGTTTGGGGGATGAGATGTGCAAGGTGGAGGCAGGACAGTTTGGTGGGAGGGAGTTGTGGGTGCTCAAAGGCCAAACAGATGCGGGGGAAGACCAGGCAAAAGCTTGGAAAAGCCATTCACAGCTGGTTTCTGAGTACGAAAATGCTGGGTTAGGGCTTAGGAAGAGCAGCTGCAGGAGCTGTGAATCCTGTCTTACACTTGTCTCTGCTGTGATTCAGAGTGGGGACACTGCAGGGAGGTTGAGTCCTCACCTCCATGTTCTCCCTAAGATGGAGCCTGGGACCTGCTCCCTGGGGCACCTCTGCAATTATAAGTGAGCCCAGACAAACACTTCAGTCCCAGGCAGGTTAGCAGTGCCCTGGGTGCCACCTTGAGGTGGTGTCTCACCCTGGGATGGTGTTTCACTCTGGCCTTTCCAGGCCCTTTTCCCCGTTTGCGTTTTCCTGACATGAAAGGACCCACTTGGACGAGGGAGAGGGAGAAGAATGAGGGCACTGTTGGGCCGTGCCAGCGTGGCTGACACAGAGCTGGGCTGTGCACAGCCCTTGTGGCAGGAGTGGCACAGGGGGGCTGGGGATCAAGGCCTCATTTATTGGCAAAAATCCTCTTTGTGTGTGTGTGTGTTACCGTCTGAGTGCTGGGGAGTGCTGTGCAGCCTCTGGAACCAGCAGTGCCAGTCTGGAGCTGCAGAGCGCTGGAACCAGCAGTGCCAGTGTGCTCTGGAGCTGCAGAGTGCTGGAACCAGCAGTGCCAGTGTGCTCTGGAGCTGCAGTTCCCTGGGCACCATCAGTGCCAGTGTGCCCTGGAGCTGCCCAGCAGTGCCAGTGTGCCCTGGAGCTGCAGTTCCCTGGGCAGCTGCAGCTGCAGAGCTCAGTGTTCTCCCTGCCCCGTTGGTCACTGCAGCAGCAGCTGTGGGTGCCCCTCCTGGCCTTTGCTCACAGATCTGGCTGGCAGTGCTGAGGGTGCTGGCACGTTCCATGGGGGGGGTTGTGCAATCCTGGGGAAGTCACCGCTGAAAGGCTGAATTTGGCTCCACAGTTCCTGCAGATTACACACTGCAGGTCAGCCAGCCCAGAACCCGTGTGCTGCTGGAAGCGTGGGCCAGTTAAAGTTCCCAGTTCACATTAGGGGTAAGAGGAGTGACAGGACATCTGTCACATAACAACACTTACTGAATGGTAAGAGCACGAACCAAATGCAGGAGATGTGCAGAGGCAGCAGCTGAAGTGCTGCAGGAGTTCCTGGGAGGTGCAATCTCCTGTGCTTCAGAGAGCCTGGGAGGGGCTGAAATGAAATGGGATTGATTTACAGTCTAAGGGAGCCTCTTGGTGATGTGTTTGTCCCAGATGTGGGTAGGTGACCCCGGCAGGACAGCTGTTATTGCAGTGGTGCAGGTCAGCCCCTGCAGGCTGTGGCTGGAGCAGCAGGCTGTGTGCTTGGGGGGTGAGGGGGGCAGCTGTACCTCCTGCAGCAGCTCTGGCTCTGTCAGGCTCACACTTCACCACCAGGGGATCAAAATCTGAGCTTTTGACTTGTGCATAATCTGTAAAGGTTTATTTAGGGTCCTGCTGGAGGGACACAGTTTCTGTCCATTTTCTCATGTGACCAGCGAGTGTGGAGATGCAGGTTTCTCCAGGAAGCTCTCGTGTCTGTTATCTGAGCCCACAGGCCAGAGCAGCCCCCACAGCTCCGTGTCTCAGCACATGCTGCTGCTCCTGATCCCCCTGCTAAGTGGAGCAGGAATCCATTTCCAGTTCCCAGCTGGCAGGAGCCTGGGCTGTGACAGCCTGACCCACATGGCTCGGTTGGTTCCAGGCTCAGTGTTCTTCAGGAGAAGGAGGAGCACCAGGCACCTGAGTTTCCTCCTGCTGCCTGGCCCCAGCTTGGCAGAGGTGTTTTTGGAGAACCTTTTCCCTGCCTTACACCAGCACTGTGCAGGATGTGTGGAGCATTCCTCCAGGTGACTGCTCCTCCTTGGGTCTGGCTTGGATGGTGCTGGACACGATTATTGCACAGCAAAACCCTTCCCTCCTAGTTTATTTCTTTAACTCTGAGCACTGGGGATGAAAGTTTCAGCCCTCCCCAGCCTGGTGTTCTTATCTCTCACCTGGCACAGTGATCTAATTAGTCCTGGAGCTTAGTGTGGCTGCTGAGCTCCTCTGTGTCTGCAGCAGGTCTGGACCAGCAGCTCCCAGCCAGACATTTGCAGACAGGTTTTGGGGTTTGTGGGGAGGGGACGAACAGGGGATGTGCTCTCAGAGGCCTTTGCTGTGTGCCCTCATTCCCAGTCCCCGTTACTGTGTGTGCTGAGGGTCCAGTGACACAGAGAACCCAGTTCTATTGTCCCCTCTCTCCTTCTGGTTTGCTTTTGGCAGTTCCTTGTCACAAAGGGACATTTTGCAGCCATTGTTTCTCCTGAAGCAGTCTTCCTCCCCCCCCAGTTTGCCCCACTGTTTCCATGTTTTCCTGCAGCTTTGGGCAGGTTTGTGGCACAGTCCGTCACTTCCTGCACAAATAGTCTGGGTTTGTGTTTGCTGGGCCAGGACAAGGTGGGAATTGTTTGGCTGCAGCGCTGCTGTCTGGAGGACAGAGCCCTTCAGAAATAGGAGATGCCAAAATATTTTGAAGGTCTTTTTCTTTCAGGCTTGGAGATTGCAGCAAAACGCAGATGTGCACAATTAAATAATTGTGGATTTAGCAAGTGCAGAGAGAGGCTTCAGAGGCAGAGATGTAAGGAAGAGTGAACTTTACTGTTCTCCTTCTCTCTTGAATTTTCTCCTTCCTCTTGTCTCTTGCCTGTGGAGAGACTGGATGTCACTGAAAGCTCCACTGCACGTTCCCTGTTGCTGCAGGGTTTTGTCTGTCCTTCTAGGGTGAATTATTAGGAAAAGAAGGTTGTCTGCTTAAAATGCAGGTATTTTCCTGTCTGAAATATGAGACTGCTGGTGAGGCAACCCTAAGGAGTTATTGTAAAACTCTCAGATAAATGGGCAGCTTTTCAGTGGATCTTAGCTGGAAACTGGGCAGTTGTTCTGAGCAGTGTGAGCAGGTAACATGCAGCAGTCCCTGCTGTGACTCCTGTGGGATCAGAGAGCTGAGGGCTGGTGTGGGAGAAGGGGCAGCCAGGGGAACTGCGGCTGGACACAGGGGATGAGCCATGGAGCTCAGCCTGTGACAAACTGTATCCCCCACTTTGCCCTTTGTGGCTGTGAGGAAGCTCTGTGTTGGTTTGGTGACATACCTGGACAATAAGGGACAATTTCAGATGAAGAGCTGTGACAGGAGCATTGCAGGATTGCCTGCAGCAGCCCACTGGAGCCATCAGGGGGGCTGGTTTGTGTCCCCCCTGTGTTTGGTAGAGGGGGATGGCCTGGGGGGAATATTCAGGCTTTGGCAGCAAAAGCAGACAAACTGAAGGAAGAGGGGGGTGGCAGCTGCTCTGTGTCTGTGGGATGAGAGGGATGTGGCAGAGAGAAGCAGGTGTGTTGTTCCTTTGATCTGAAATGCGGCCCAGTGTCTCTTCTCCAGCTCAGGGCTGCTTGCCTGCAGCCCAGAGCCCTGGGTTCGTCCTGTGAGTGCCCTGGGATGTGTGACCACTGTTGGTGTAGCTGGATTAGCTGGTGGTGCACACTCAGCCTGTAAAGGGACTGGCCTTTGCCAGGTCTGTGGTTCCATTGCCAGGCTGTGCCTGGAACTGTGACATTGTCAGGGGACAGAGCCAGCAGAGCCACACCCGGGGTTTGTGCCACTTCACCCCACCTGAGAGTCAGCCCTGACTGCTGCCCCCCACAGCAGTGGCACTGGCACTGTGCAGCTTTGGGGGTTTGGCTGTTGTAGCTCTGCATCTCTGACATCAGTGTGTGATATTAAACAGCGTCATTTTTGTGGTACTTCATGATTTCCTCCCCCAGGTCACTGGTGGTTGCGCACGGGACCAAGTTCAGTATTGCACACCCGTGTGCAGAGTCAGCCAAACATCATTTCTGTAGTACCTGAAGAAGTGGAATGTCCTTTCCTGCAGTGGTGTGTGTGAATTCCTGAGGAGAGCCTGGACAATTGAACCTCTGGCAGATTTTACTGATGGTGCTGCTTGAGGCATCCAGCAGTGGGGCTGGGAGGAAGGCTGGTGACATCCTCGCTGCCTTTCTGCATCCAGCCCTGTGCTCACCTGGACTCTTCTCTTCCAGCACCCAGGTGGAGAAGAGGTGCTGCTTGAGCAAGCTGGCAGAGATGCCACTGAGAGCTTTGAAGACGTGGGGCATTCCACAGATGCCAGGGAGATGCTGAAGCAGTACTACATCGGAGAGGTGCACCCGGTGAGTGCCCCCACCGGTGAGTGTAGCCCCCAGACAAAGATACAGGCTGTGCCTTGGGACATAAGTCACTACTTGAGGGGTTCAGGCAGTCCCTGTGTTGTTCAGGGTTTCTGCTGGGGAAGCTGAACTAAATTAGTCTTCTCCTTCCACCATTCAGAACAGATTTCTCACTTCATTTAAATCGGGGCACTTGAGCTGAATCCATGGGTTCCCTCTGTAGCTGGTGGAAGCATCATCCACCTTTGCCTTGTAAATCTGAGCTCAGGAGGGTGAGAGTTCCCAGGGGCACAGACACCTTTCTGCCTGCCTTTGGGTGCCAAGGAAGGACTTGTTTGAAAACTGAGCCCAGGCAATTACCTTTGTACAGAACAATTCCCTCATAAAGGCTGCAGCCTCCCTTTGAAGTCAGCACTTACCTCTTTCTTCTTTTTCCGCCTGACAGAGTGATCGTGAAAAGCAAGGTTCTAAGGTAAGCTCTAGCATTTCAGTTTTCTGCTTTTATTTAATGTCAGTCTTTTGGAGGCTTTTTCCCCCCTCTTTTTCCTGTGGAGCTTGTGGCTTTATGTTTACGCAAACTACACACGAATAAATTTCCCAAGCAAATTCTACCTTTGTTTTTGTTCTGAACCTCAGTGGGCACCTCAGTGTGGAATTGGGAGTGAGTTTTTGTGCCCTTTCTCTGCTGGCAGCAGCGATGTTTTTTCCACACCTTGAGCCACAGACCATTTTTCGCATTTCTGGCTGTGTCCTGACCACGGAACTGGTTTCCTTGTTGTTCCCTCCGAGCCAGGAGACAGCAACAGGGGCTGGCTGGCAAACAGGAATTCTCTGTTAACTGCCTCAGGGATCAGTGGTGTTGCTTAACACTCAGGTACTCCTGGACTAGAGCAGAGTGTTGCAAAAATGCCTTTGGAAGGGATGGGGAGAGGGACAAGCAATAAATAGAATCCCAGCTGGGAGGTAAACATGTGCCTCGCAGCTGGCTGGGCTGGGAGGCCTGCACAGGGCACAGCTCTGCCTTCAGCAAGGCTTTCAGCAGATGTTCCTCTGAGCAGGACCACTTACAGAGCAGCAGGAATCCAGAAGGGAACTGTCTGCAGAGAAATCAAGGATAACTGAGGCTGGGTAAAGCCTATGCTTAGATAAGGAGCTGTGTGATTATGTACATATTCACCTTAAAATTTATTGTTTCATTCAACTCCAATTCATAAACACATGCTGAAAATGTGCACAGAAATCAATGGTGATCCGAGTAGCTCTCTTGGATCTGGGTTAAATACTTTATTCAAGTATTTTTTTTCTTCTGATCAATAAGTCCAGCAGGTTATGCACAGCTGAGGGCTCTCTCCAGAGTGCATAATCTGTATTAGAAGGAGGTTCCAGTGTAATTTAAAGATGGCAGCAAGAGAGAGACTCAGTAATGTACAAATAAATAAGGGGGAAGCGCACAACCACCCCAAAACTGTAAAAGTGTGATGCAATAAGCAAGGTTTTATTTTGAGAGGGGTGCAAGTTCCAGCATGAAGCTGGTGACTGGGTGGGACCGATTGGATTGATGGAAGGAACATGAAGATGACAGCAGACATCCCCAAAAGCAGCCACGCTGGTGACAGGGGGTGTTTGGGAGGGGAGGGTGATTTTCCCTCTGTATTTGTAATCACACGTTCAGGCTTGTCTTATTAGCACACACTTAATGTTTCTTTGTTCCCCTGCTAACTCACTCTTTCCTCCTCCAGAATTCAAGTAGGACATCCTCAGACCAAACCAGGTACAGTATCTCCTGAAAACAAGGGTGAGACATGGAGGGGATGGGAGCCTGTTTGTAGAGCTGCACGTTAACTCCAAAGGGCAGGCAAGTCCCTGGGGATGTGCTGCAGTGTCCTGGCAAGCAGATCCTCCAGGGCAAGTGCCAGAGCGTGCACCTCCCTTGCTGGATGTGAGCCCAGCTCTGCGCTGGGCAGAGCCAGCGTGCCAGTGTGTGGAGTTCTCTGCCCCCTGTGCTGGTGTTCATTGGCACTGGCTGCATCTCTGCAACCACAGGGGGTGTTTGGGTGGTCTCTGTGGGCCCAGGGGTGGCACAACACAGGGATGGATGGGGTTTTGGAGGACTTTACCATGATCAGCCCAGTCTAGATGAAAATCCATAAAACCAGCTCAGGGCCCTGGTTTCATGCAGCTCGTGCAGGAGGTTTTGTTCAGGAGGCTGCTGAGGGTGAGCCTCTGGAGTGTGAGCAAGGCAGATTTACTGGGGCACAGCTGTAGCCGTTGCCATCCTTGAGTCAACAGTGTTGTTTGTACAACACAAATTACAGCCTGACTTATTTAAGGAAAATAAAACCAAACCAACAACAAACCCCCCCCACTGGTCTCTGGATGTGCCAAGCTGGGAACTGCAGCCACCCAGCTGCTATTTTATAAGGCACGAGGCCACTCCTGTGGGGGCTGGCAGAGCCTGTGCCTGGGGACAGTGGGGCTGCCCCAGCTGTGGCCATGCTTAGGGGCCAGCCTGTGGGTACAGCTCCCAGGCATTCCCTGGATGTGCAACAAGGGATGAATATTGGGGATGGATTATTAACTAGGTGCTTTCTTCTGGTTTCTGTGGTGTGCACGTTTTAGTTTGTTGTTTTTTTTTCTCTCCCTGTAGTTCCTGGTCGACATGGCTGATCCCCATCTTTGGAGCACTGGTTTTAGGTTTAATGTATCGTTATTACATGGCAGATGGGAAAAGCTCCTGAGTTGGCCTTGCTGGGGCCTCAGACAGCCTGAGAAGAGGGAGACAGAGTGTGTGTGTGCAACACGTGGAGTTCTGCTGCCCTTAGCCTTCCCGCCTTGCTTTTAGCTCTGAGTCTGTCAAGTGATGTTGATATCCATGGGACCAAGCTAATTCCAAACTCTGTCCTAACTCTGGGACCCACAGATCTGTTGTACCTCCCTCTTGCCGTGGCAGGGAACGAGGAACTCCTGTTGTTCCCTGCCCTTGGCGTGGTGTCCCTCATGCTCTCTCTCGCTCTCTCTCGCTCTCTGACTTTACCCCAGACAACCTTTTCTCTCAATGCCTTTGCGTTAAGCCAGACACCATGAAAGAGCTGCCCCGGGCCTGTGGCTCTGCCTCAGCCCTTCACACAGTCGGGAACCATCTGCCAGGTGTCTCCAGCCCTTGCCAGCAAGGATGTCCAGAGTTTGGTTCTGCAGGAACGTTCCCAGAGCGTGCAGGCAGCACCAGCTGGAGCTGCAGGGAGTTGTTGGGTTGGCCTCCTCTTTCTGTTCCTGTCTGTTTTTAACGGTTAAACAAATACATGGATTTTAAAAGTGATTCCGTTCATTTTGTAATATTTGTACTTGTCCCTTTGGAATGTATATCCTGTGAGCAACTTATGCTGAATCCTGGTTGGTTTGGGTGTTTTGTGCTGTGCGTGGCAGAGCCAGTGGGAACTGGCGTGTGGCTTCTGGAAATGCAGATTCTTCTTTCTCCCTGAGGTCATGATCTGACACATGTACAGGAAACCAAACTCATTCTTACGTACTGTGAATGTGCACCAGATGGGGACGACAATTAAATCTGGTCTCTTCTCCCAAAATGAAAAGGGAAAAGAAATGCATTTGGGATTTGTGGATAATGCTGGTTTTGTCTGGGAATAGAGGAGAGTATTTCCCTCTTGCCCTGTTTTTGTGTGTTGTGCAGTCGGCCTTGAAGTGCAGACAGTGCACAGTTTGCTTCCTGTGCTGAGGCAGGAACCTTTCCAGCTCTTCCAGCACACTGATCTGGGCTTTGGGATCTGCTAAATAAAGGGAAGTGGTGTCCTGGTGCCCAGGGCTGTGCCACCCACAGGGGTTCCCAATCCAGACCTCCAGCACAGCTGATCACCCCTGGGATTGCAGCAGAAAGGGCAGTGATACCCTGGGGTCCTGCTGTGAAAACCTCCCATGGGTTATGGGGATTCTTCTCTCTTCCACAAAACTACCACGTCCTCCAAAGGTTGTGTATAAGAAATTCTGGGATGTAGACCTACACTCTGCTTTTTAAAACTGAAGGCCAGGGACCTTGGAGTAAGAGCACTGCCGGGGCTTCACATTTAACACAAAATTGTGAACCATGAACTCAGTTTGGGGAAGTTTAGAGTGGATTCTGTATTAGGGAAAGGTTTTGAAGCTGGAAGGCACATGTTGGCAACAGTATCACCTGCTGAGTGGAGGTTGTTCAGGGCAGTGCAAGATTCCACAAAGGTCAGATGGTTTGGATCCAGGAGCACCAGGCTGGCCTGAGGAACGGGGCAGGTGTGATGCTGGAAACACACCTGTTGTCTCCATAGGCAACACTTTTACCTGGATTTAGACTTTTTTTTAATGCCCTTTTCCTGGCAGTGGTCTACATTCAGTTGCATTTTGGTTGCTCTAAAGAACTTCTTGCCATTATTGACCCTTGCTCTGAGCTCTTGATGCTCCACTGTTGGGGAAATTGCCTGTCCATTCCCACATGTTATGGAACCTTTTTTCCTCTTAATGGATTAATTGCCCAGGGAAGACTCTCAGTCTTGTTCCAAGGCTTCTTGGAGCTGGTAAGATCCTTGTCCAGTGCCTTGTGGGACCCCAAGCAGCCTTTATCTGCACATGTGCCAGCTCCTCACAGAGCTCGGGGTGCTTAGATGCATTTGCAGAAGCCACATGGAAGTCTCCTCCCTTCTCCATTAATGACAAGGGGCAGCATGTCTGGGGTGGAGGCGGCTGGAGAGAGCCCAGTGCTTCCAGGTGTCCTCTGGTGTGGTGGTTTGGCTGCCTCTTCTCATTCCCTTCCTGCCTCAGGGATGGCTCCCACAGGTGTGAAAGGGCTCGGGCAGGAGGGAGGCATGAGCAGAGCCTGTTTCCTCACTCTGTGTCAGGATTCCAGAGGAGCTCAGCTCTGTCCCCACGCTGAACCCGCACAGCCCCTGTTTGCCGCCAGTCTCCGCACAATGCCGGCACAAAGCCGGGACAAAGCCGTCTCAGCTTTCACCCCGCAGGAACCTCTGTGGGTGGAATTCAATCTGGGCTGTGCTCCGCTCCCTTCAGGTGCTGCGGAGGAGAGCTTCAGCGAGGAGCTGCAAATGCGAGCACAGGCATCTCCTGTGGTTAATGTGAGCCTGCTAGGGCTGCCTGGGAGTGCAGTGCGGCCCTTGCTGCCTCTGCACCACCCCGAGTTCCTTGGTGACACAGAATGGAACTGCTAATTGGGCTGGCAGAATGTAACTGTTAATTGGGCTGACGGTTTGTGGAGGATGGTGGGAGGTCTGAGGGTGTTCCTGGGGGGAGCTGGTGCATGTTCCGTGATGCAGGCACCCACTAAATGCCATTTCTTGTACCTGGAGATTGTCTGCCTGGCAGGAGGTGCCAGGCTGTGTGTTTGCTGTGTTCAATAAACTCATTATTATAAACAAACAGGTACAGGACCTTGTCTTCCCCCAGGTGTGGGATGTTTAGTTACTCCATCCCTGTTACCCTGGAATGTGTAACCCCCATGTTGCAGGGCTCAAATATCCAGTGTTGGTGAGCTGTGGCAGACGAGGGATTTGCCTTCCTGTTGGTAGAGGAAGAATCTTCTCCTTGGCAGAAGCTGGTGCTGAGCCTGTGCCAGGGATGATAGCACCGTGTGTGGCTGAGTGACCCATGGTCCCTGTGGGTGTTGGGGAAGCAGCAGTTTGGGGCTAAGCTCTGCACAGGCAGCTCCTGAGTCCATACAATATTCCATGCTGTGATTACAGTGGGCGTTTCAAAATCTGCAGCAGGGCAGCTCCCTGCATCACCCTGATAATCCCAATCACCCCTTTGGAAGGGCCATGAGCAGGTGGCAGAGCAGCCATGGGCAGGGGTTTTCTCTGGAAGAACCCACATGGTGTGTGACGGTGGCACCGCTGCCCTGTTGTCCCAGGGCTCCCCCACTCACACCTCCACGAGAAGAGAGTGTAGGAGGGCTGTTTTCAATGGAAAGATGACATGGAGACCATAGATTCTGTGTTCTATTTGCATGTCTGCTTATAAAAGGATGTAACATCCCACCCCCATGGCTGTCAGCAGAATCAGGCTCTTGAAATTTGTCTAATTATGGATCTCACGGTACCATAGGCAGCCTCAGGACAGCAGTACCTGGTTGGAGCCTCACAGGAGGGAGCTGGAGGTCAGCAAGGTGCTGACTGGGGAAAAGGGCATGGAAAATCAATGGGAACATCTGCTTTGGTCCTGGATTTCAGCTGAGATAATGGAGGGGAAAAGGGCATGAACTGAGTGGGAAGTGCAAGTTTTGGGGAGGAACGTTGGGCTTTGTGTTCTTGGCAGGCACCGTCTGACTGTAAACTTTATTTATCTTTGATCTAGAGGAATTGGATCCAAAAATCAGAGAAATAAACAAGATTTCAGAACTATTTTTAAATCTGCTTTCAAGCGCTGCAGGGTCAGTACTGCGCATGGTCCTGCTCCTCCGAGCACTGGGGAGGATTTGCAGGGTAGCTGAGACAGAGCTGGTAAAATTCAGGGGCCAGTGGGCCCCAGAAGAGTCCTGACACAGCCAGGTTGTGTTTGCACATGGCAGCTCCCGCTCTGGCGCAGGGAGGCTGTGGTGGCTTTATTCCAGGATGAAATGGAAGGACCCCGTTAACGGGATTTACGTTACGGGATTACGTTTTAAAACGCTCACAAACCAGGAATGCTTTCAGGACACCAGCAAGTCCCGTGCACCTACAGCTGGACCTTGCCCAGCGTCGGCCCCGCAGCCAAGTGTCCTGTTCCCTGTCACCAGCACGGGGACACAGGGACGGTGCCTCCTGCCAGCAGTGACCACCCTGCACAGCCCCGGTGCCTCCATCACGAGTGCGAAGCCAACGCCAGTGTCGCACGCTGGTGTCACACGCTGGTGTCACCCGCACCGTGTTGTCTCTCCTCCAGGGACACCACTAACAGAAATTACTATAACACAGGTTTCCTGCCAGCCTCGGCAGCTCTAATGAGTCAGGAAGTCGTAAGTAATCTGGGAATAGGGGAACTGTTGACAGAGCCTAATTATTTTCTGACAGTCTTTCTAACACCGCTAGAAAATAAAACACCTACGTCGGCTCCGGAATCGCAGACGGGGTTAGTGATATTCTGCAGGCACCTGCTAATTTGTCCCCACGATCCCGCTTTAGGCTCCTTCCCCCTCACACCTGCTGCTCTCCGGCTGCTTCTGCAGGAAGAGGAACTTTATAATAAAGAGAGAAAATACCTCAATGACACAGAACCGCTGCAGCCTGCTCCCACGGCTTTTCCATCTTCTGGGCCCACAAAACAAGAGGAGTTCTATGGCTCTGACTGGATCCCAGGGAATCTGGTACATGTGCTTTGCTGACCTGCCTCAGCATGGTTATTCCCCCCAGTCCTGCTGCTCTGTGCTGCACATGGACTGACTCATCATTTATTTAGTCCTTTTAAATTCTTATTGTCCAGGACTGTTTGGTCCTCCCCAAAAAACAAATTATTAATTCTTTCTCCAAATTTGGCCTTTGTCCGTTGCCTCCCTGTCTTGGAGTGCTGGGAGCAGCAGGGCCTCTCTCCTTTCCAGCTTTGGAGGTTCCCCCAGGCCGGGTGAGCACAGGTGGAATTGCACAGCCAGGCTGCTCCTGCCTCGCTCCATGGAGCACCAGGACTCCTTTTTTCTCATCTTTAACCCCTGTTCTGTGTTGTTATTTGTGGTGTCCCAGCTCTGTCCTTCCCAGGACTCTGCAAAGCCCTTCCCAGGCAAACACGCTCCAGCAGCTGTCGTGGAGCTGCTCCTGCTGGGCCAGCAGGGCTTTCAGTGCTGTCCTGTCCCTGCCCGGCCATGGGTGCCTGAGCCTCCCAAAGGCACCTTCTCTATGCTGAGCCGCTCCATCCCTGAGCACTCTGAGTGCTCCCTCTGCCACTTCCCTTTCAGGACTCAGATCTGTTTTCCTTCCCCACCACAGCCCGTCTGGTGGTGGCACCTTCTCCAGGAGCCTCTGTTTTCCTCAACACTCAGACAGGAGGTGAGTATAGCACAGTCTTACATTGTTTTCCCTGGATGCTTCCCAAACAATTCAGTTTTGTAGTGCCAGCAGTAGCTGTCCTCCTCTGATGGGCAGACATTCCTCCCTCCCTTGCAAGGCAGGGCAATCCCTGCCTGGCACAGGTGATTCCCCCTTTCCTTCTGAAGTCATCAGGCTTGAGATTGCCAAAGGGGAACCTTTCCCTTCAGCTCTCCAGAGTATGCCTGCTCCAAGAGAGCTGGAGAGGGACCTTGGAGTGCTAGGACAGGGGAATGGCTTCCCACTGCCAGAGGGCAGGGTTAGACGGGCTATTGGGAGGGAATTCTTCCATGTGGGGTGGTGAGGCCATGGCACAGGGTGCCCAGGGAAGCCGTGGCTGTCCCATTCCTGGACATTTTGCTGAGGGGCTCAGTGATCACAGCAAACCCTTTTGGAAGACTTTTAACTAGGGAGGACACTCGTGCCTGACTTGAACAATGCATGGGTGAGCTGTGCTCAGCACCCTGAGACAGCAGCAGAACTGCAGTGTGCCATGACCGAGTGTTCCTGGGGACCAGGATGGCTGCATCCCGGCTGTCACTGCCCAGGGAAGGGTCTGGAGACTTCCATGGCACACCCTGGGCAGGGGCTGGTCACCAGCTGTGATGGCTGATGGACAGGATGAAATCCACGGATGTACTGGAGTCCTGTGCCCTCCTGCCACGCCATGAATGAAGTCAGGTGGAGGAGATGAAAAGCCAGGACAGCTCCAGGAATTAAAGCAGCTTGTCTGGGATGAAAGAGAAACCGACTTCAAATGCCACCAACCACGCACCGTGCAGCTGCCCCTGCCCTGCCAGGGCCGTGAGACAGGGACACCATGGGCACTGCCTGGCACTCTGTGGGCAGGGGACACGGCAGAACAGGGTGACATGGCAGGACAGAGCGCCAGTGCTCCAAGGACCAGCTCAGTGGTGTCACAAGCGTGGGACTGTGGCCGAGTGCTTGGTGAGGACACCAGTGTGGCCATCCCACAGTGACTGACTGAGCAGCAGGGCATGGGGCTCAAGGGGTCTCCACTGGCTCTCAGGCTGCACCGAGGGCATGGCAGCTACTGAGTGCTTTCAGAGGGAGATTTCGCTGGGATCCGAGCGCGGACTGGCAAGGAGCTGGCAGCAGGAGGGACGGGAGCCAACCTTTTGGTGTCCCAGGGAAACTGGACCCTGTGCGGCGCCGGAGGCACGCGGCAGCTGTTCACAGCTCCTTCCGCCTCCATTTTTCACAGCTTAAGCACTCGCCTGGCACCTCCATCCACTCACACACAACCCGTCTTATTTTCCCATCCTTTCCCCACTTTCAAAGCAGACTTTGGAAAAGTAATCGTACGTCTGTGCGGGACACCTTTCCACACCTCCTCCCCCTTCTTACACCTTTCAGGGAAAGGGGCTCCCAAACTCTCCCTCAAGGACTCAGTGCTCGTGTTCTCCGACTCCCCACATGTGGGGCACTTGTGTCTTCAGGCAGCTGCCATCCGTGTCAATGATAACGCACTGTTGACACCACTTTTGCATTTTCACGTTCTTTGGAAATAGCTGTTTTTTTGGGACAATAACCGCCAGTGGGTTTGGCAGCTCTGCCTTGTGGGTTTCCATGGCAGAGCCCTGCGGCTGGCTGGAGCTCTGGTGGCACCACAGCCGGCCCCGACCCTCGGGGTGTCATCACGACCCCCAGCACCGGGAGAGGAAGGTCGGGCACAGCCCCCTGAGGCACAGCCCCAGCCGTGGGATGTGGGGGCAGGCGCTGCTGCCGCCCTCTCACTCGGGGCTCCATACCGGGGGCTCCTCGAGGGTCCATGCCGGCTGCTCTCACGCCGGGGCGCTCCCCAGAAGAGCTCCCCTGAGGGACCAGCCCGACCCCTCACCGCGGGGGCTCCCCTCAGAGCCAACTCTGGGGCTGCCCTTGAAGGGCCCTCCCAGCTCGGCGATCGCGGGGGCTCTCCTGAGGGGCTGCCCTCACCCCGACTCCCCTCAGGGCAGGGCTCTCCCGTGAGGCTCCATCGCGCCCCCCCATCCCTTCCAGACTCTTCCCCCGCGCCCCCCCGCGTGCGCACGCGCGCCCGTTCCGCCCCCGCCGGTCCCCGGCCTCCCTCACGCACGCGCAGAGCGGGCGCGCCGCCGCCGTTCCCCGCCGGCCCCTCCCGTGCCCCGCGCAGGCGCAGCGGGCTCGGAGCGGCGTCGGGCGCGCTCCGCTGCACACCGGCCCTGCGAGCGCCGCCCGCTCCCGCAGCCCCGGCCCGACCGCCCGCCCGCCCGGCCGACCGCGGCCCCGCCGTGCGCACCGCGCGCTCCCCCGGCCCGTGTGTCCGCTCCGCTCCGCTCCGCGCGCGGCGGAGGCAGCCGCGCCCCCCCCGGCCCGGCCCCCCCTCCTCCCGCCGCCCCCTCGCCCCCGCCGGGCCGCGGAGCTGCGATGCCCTCGGACTTCATCTCTCTGCTCAGCGCCGACCTCGACCTCGAGTCCCCCAAGTCGCTCTACTCCAAGGGTGAGTGACCGCGGCGGGCTGTGGCGGGGGGGGTACCGCCGGTACCGCCGGGCCCGCGCTCCGGGCCGGCCCGGGCCCCGCGGGGCATCGCCCGCCCGCCGCCCCCGCCCCGGGATGCGCGGCCGGAGGGGCCCCGGGGCCGCGCGGGGCCGCCCCGGCTCCCCCGGCCGCATTCCTGGCCCGGCCGCGGCCGCCGCAAGAATGTGTCCCGACAGGTTCCGGCGGCGGGGCCGGCGGCGGGGGGCTGCGGCCCGCCCGGGGTCCCCGCCGGCCCCGGCTCTGCCCGGCCGCGGGCACGGACACGCTCCGGCCTGGAGCGGCAGCTAACGGGGAGCGCGGGCGGGCGGGGGCCCCCCGAGCTGCTCTGGAAAGTCTCCCGGGAGCGCGGCTCGGGGGAACGGGAGCGCTCGGGATGCCCTGGTTCGGGGTGAGAACGGGAGCGGAGCCCGGCGAGCCGAGCGTGCTGGGCCCCGGTGCCCGGAGCATCTCCGGGCGTTATCCAAAGCACCGGGGTGAAGCAGCATTGTCTGGGGGACTGGACCCCGAGGGGACGGAGTGCGTTTATAAGCAAATTAGATTAATTTCTGTTTTCATAACACCGAATTTGAGCTCTGACAAGTGCTCGTGAACATGGGTAAGTCCATGAGGACAAGTGTTACATACTGCAGAGTTTTTAACTCATTTTCTCGTGTTTAAGAGACTTGAAAGCCAGTACTATTAGTTTGTGATACCAGAAGTACCAGTTAGTAGTTCACTAGTAGTTTGTTGCACACGCCTGCCCACAGTACAGCTGGTGAGAGGAGCAATTTTGGGGCTGTACGACAAAATAAATGGAAAAGTCTCTTATTACCCTGCTTTGAAGGTTTAAACCAGTTTAATGTTGTTACAGCATTAACATGGTTAACAGTAAAGATTTAATTTTTTTAGGACTGTAATATGGTCATTAACTTTGAGTTGTGTGTTGGTGGGAGATGAAGGTATAAGAAACAAAAAGACTTTAATGAATTAAAGTACATATTGGAAGCTCTCAAACTGCTCAGAGTCATTGTCTCTCTCTTTAAAATTATTGCTGGTAGCTTATAAGTTTTTTTTAGGATGTTACTGGAGGGGCTCAAGGCTCTCTGGTTGCCCAGCACAATGTGTTCTGGTTGGTTTCAGTCCTTGTGCCGGCAGTAGGAAGAGTATTTTGAAACAGAGTAATTCAATTATCAATACAGGTGATAAACCCCATTGAGGTTATGATTTATCCTACTGGAAATTTGAAAAGTGTGCACTGTTAGTTTGTAACATGTTGAAAATAAAAATGTTCTGTGAAAGTCACAAAATTACTTCAAGGACTTGTTAACTGCGCAGAACTTCCGAACTGCCCAACCTTACTGTGAATTCTCTTTTATTCATTTGTATTTAATGGAATGGTTGAGTGTTTCAGGTTGGAAAAGAGTCTCAGACTGATTAATCCAGAGTGTATTTTTCTTCCGGTGCGGAGATGTGGGTTCAGAGCTGGAAGAGGTCGAGGGAAGGATGTTGTGGTCGCAGAGAGCTGCGTGATCCCAGCAAGATGCCACGGCAGAGCTGCAGAACACAGAGAGGGGTTATAAAGAGGTTAAAGGTTAAAGCAAGTTTTGCTTTTCATGTTTTGTCACAACAAAAGATCGAGGAGACGATAAGTTGAAATGCAATCTAAACTTTAGAACCAATGAATATACTTCTTGAGAACGAATAGCAAAGTGATTGTGAGTACGATTTTAGCTGAAATGTAGGAGAAGGTGTTAACATGTGATCAGAACACGCTCCAGTGTACTTTTATTTTTTTCCCTAGATAGATACAGATAAGTTATCCCGTGGACAAGTGCTCTGGCTCAGGGTACAAGTACAACTGATGAGATAAAGGGAAAGGTCTGAACAGAGTCAGAGAACCACAAATATGCATTTATGATGAGGGTGTGTTAGAGCGAGTAGTTTCTTCTAACTGCTCTGCTTTTAGCAGCGCAGCCGCCCCGTGGGGGGAATCCAGCCCCAGGTTTAACTGGGACCAGTGCCTCTCCTCTCAGTCTGAGTGGGATCCAGCCCCAGGTTTAACTGGGACCAGTGCCTCTCCTCTCAGTCTGAGTGGGATCCAGCCCCAGGTTGAGCTGGAGCAGTCCCTCTCCTCTCAGTGGCATTCCTGCACTCCCAGTGCTTGTGGCTGGCGATCCCGGCCTTGGGAGCCTCCCTGATGGGAGCTCTGAGCCTCTGAGGGAGCCTCAGCTTGGGGTGGTCTGAGGAGTTGCTGGGGTTTCTGACAGAGCAGATTTGGTTTGGTGGAGTTAAAGTGGCCCAGTCTGCATGCGCTGATTGAAAAAAACGAAATTACGTTTGGAAACCCAAGGACTGAAGTTTTTAGCGGTGTGATTTTTTTCTGGTTTTCTCCCGTATTCCAGAGAAGTCTGGACAAACTGACTGATGTCATCAGCCTGTCCCCGCACCATGTGTTAAAAGTTTTGGCTTGCACCACCATCTCAGTTAAGAATTCTGTTTTCACATTCTTGTAAAAAAAAAAAAAAGGTCAAACAAAACTCAGAAAGCCGCCACACCTCAGGTGAGTGTGAGTGGGTAATATAAACTCACCCTGCAGTGAGAGTCCATAATGTAAACTCTGCTCTGATAACTCATTCCAGTAATTTCATTTATGCCTGTCTTGGGATGCAGAGTATTTTCTTTGAGTATCTCAGTGCTTTCTGTTGCAGTTTCTGCCCCTGTCGGTGTTTCCAGAGCAGCTCCAGCCCCAGTGAAGTCCCATGTGCACCCTTCAGGCAGCTGTGTGCTCCTCTTTTCCTCGTGGCTCTGCTCATGCCAGCTCTGACGTGGCCACACTGAGCTGGACTGGGGAGCTGATCGTGTTAAAATTAACTCAGCTTCTCCCTTTTTCTTTCCCGAAGGAAAAGGGGAGGAGAAGTGTTGGTTTGTAATGGGGTGAGTGTCCTGTGTTTGCTGTGGGTCTCCGAGAATGGCTTGTGCTGACTCAAGGAAGGGACATGTGGAAACTGGCCTTGGGGAAAGGTGGGACTGCTTCTTTCAGCAGCTTATATTGGCTTAAAATGATAGTGAAACTGTACTGAGCTTGCAGTTCTCTGCAACAGGATCTCTAAATGTTTCATGTATTGGTTGTAGCTGCTACAAAAAAGTGAAAGAAATGGGAAGTGTGGATTCCAGGGCTTTTTGCTGGAGCTCATCCTCAGAGTTGTGTGAAGAACTAAAACCAGTCTTTCAATGTATAGTCGATATTAAATAATGTATAATCATTAAGAAATGCTTTGTAACCATTGCAGAAGGATGATATCTCCTGCTAAGAAGTTAAAGATATAAACAAAAATATGCATCACTTCATGCTGAAAATATTTAGGCTGTAGTATGTTTCCTTCCCATCTTTACATAACACACTGTCCTTTTTGGAATAAACCAACCCAAATGTGCATACAGATTAGTAATGTAGTAGAAAAATCACTGGAGCATAAAACCTAAAACCTCGAGGCTGGTTGTCCTGTGGTTGAATATCATCTGCAGCACTCAAATAGAGCAACGTTGGCTCTTCATTGGCAGCAGACAGAGGTGAAAACCTGTAATTAAAGCAGTTCATCAGATGTCAGGGACTAAATCTGATTAAACATGGGATTAATTTAGCTAATACATTGACTTTGAGTTGCCCAATAATGTGTGTGTACTAATAAAATGGCATTTTTGCACTGTAGCACAAGTGCAGTTAGAAGTTTTTATTAATGTCCTGCATTTTGCTTTCCACAATGGAGTGGCTGTAAAACTGAGAGACTTCCTGGAATTTGGTAGCAACAAGAAGAATGTTAGTATTCTGATAAATAGCTCTTTTGCCCTAAAAATGTCATATAACCAAAACTCAAACGTTCTCCGTGCGTAAATGTGAACTGACTGTAATCCACTTGCGTTTGCTGGGAATTGGAATACAACACGTGGGGCTTGGTGATTTTTCTTTTTCCCTACCAGAACTCTTTCCTTCTGTGATCCCAGGGATAGCTATAGTAGGACAGTGACTAAATTATCAAAGAGGGTTGGAAAAGACGCTTTATAAAAATAACCTAGAACGTTAGAACTAGTACTAGCAGGTTGTAGGAATAGAAATCAGACTTGGCTTCTTTTTGTAGCAATTTTTATCTTCTTTTTGTAGCTGGTAGAAGGTGCTCCGGTGGTTGTGCCGTGCTGAGTGTTCTGTGAGGGATGGATCCCTCCATCCACCCCTTGCAGCTCTGCCAGCTGCCCCCAGGACATTCTGGCTTAACCAAAATGGATTCAACCAAAGTTCTTTCACTTGTGCGTCAGCCTTTCCTTAAATGTCCTTTCCTCCTTGGAATCTTCCTCCTTCATTGGCTTTCAAAGCAAAACTCTGGAATGTGTTGCTGCACGATGATTGTGTGGTGCTGGGGGTAGGGGGAGGACGTTGAATTCGCAGCTTTGCAGGGTGTAATTTGAATATTCCGGTGGCAGAGCTGTCTGAACAGCCCCTTTTCCTCGCCGTCTGTTCTCACCCATGGACTGTGCTCCGAGTCCTGCCAGCACAATTGTTGTTTGTGGTTGGGAGATGAATGGGGTTGGGAAACCGATCTAGAATGGGGATATTGTACTTGTGATGGGATTTTCTCACATTGTTCTGCTTCCTGGTCTGGCTACTGTGCAGCTGCACAAGGAGTGGTGACCCGGCAGGAAAGGGGGCTCTGGGGCACTGGGATCAGGTGGTGGAGGTGGGAGCAGATGAGCTGAAACTGCTGAGCTGGCTCTGCCACGGACAGAAATGCTCCTTGCCTTGTGCCTTTGTGGTGTTTGCTGTGCCTTCTGTAGCCCTTGTGCCGAGGCTGGGCGGGCAGGGCAGCCTGTCCCTGGAGGAATGTGTGCTGCTCTGGCTCTAAGGCTGGCTGCAGTCTTTGGTTGTCAGCTTTACTTGTTTTGGGTACTTTGTCCTTCTCTGAAAGTTGTCATTTTTTCTATTAGAGAAT